CCCCCCCCCCCCCTCCCCCCCAACAAAAAAAAACTTCTCCACATTTTCTAATAGTAAGTTAATTTATATCACTTTTAACAATACTTTCCTAAAAATCTATTCATATTAATATTGTTTATTAAAGTGTTAAAAATATTTTTTACACACAAGTTTTTACAATGTAATGCACGCATCGCGTGCACCGGAGAACTAGCTATACGAGTAAACAAAGACAGAAGAGATACGAACCAAATTATTTTGGTACCAACATTTACTGCATGATTTGGTAAGATCCCAAAGCCAGTTTTCCCCCAACTCTTTAAGAATGCTTTGAAAGACAGGTCAATAATACAAATGGAGAACATAAGCTATCAAGTTTACTTTACTGCACTGCTCACGCCTAATGCCACATAAACAAAATGTGGTGGCCTCAAATTGGCAGAGATTAAGCTATTAAGCATGTATGGATCATGTAACAGAAATTAGAGCCAAGATACAGAAGAGATACTAACCCCAATGTTAAACTGTCTTCTGATCCTTGTACGAAAATAACCCAGATATAAACAAAATGCGACAGAAGAAGCAAGTCCCATATATAAATAACAATGCTGCATCGTGAATCCAAAGGCAATGAAGTTGGATAGAACAGTCACCACAAGGATAAAATAAATAGAACCCTGGGAAAGAAAAAAATGATTTAGTTCAAGATAACAAATGCCAATGGATAACAAACGCAGCATAAAGGTGCTAAATACTACAGATGCTAAATACTAACTCTATCAAGAATTATTAGACATTTCCAAATTTACCAAAATAAGGTCAGGAAACTTTGAACATTGTACTCAACAACATGACCTTTTTTCTTTGGCGAGGTAACTATAATAAGCTGACATGGGAATATAACTTAAATGAAAAAATATTGCTTAGGTTCTTAAACCTAATTACTGCATTCAGAAAAAGAAAAATACAGGTATCATAATAAAAGATAATTGCAAATGGCAATTTAATACAAGACAGACAGTATAGACCTATACATTTCACCAAATCGATGTTGAACATCATCATTATATAATTGTATATTCTATATAGCTATAAATAAATGCCTTGATTTTGAGGAATGACATGTCCTATATGCAAGCATCTGCGGATAAATGAACTCTTTCTAATGATACATAATATTCTAGTGTCAAGGTGCAGTCCCCATGTCCTTCCTAAGGAACTACGACTTTCTATTCTCGTGTCCATTTTGCATCTGCATTGCATGTTTGTATTTACTAGTATAGTGCACGTGCGTTGCACGTGTATTTATTTTTATGTTTATCTTTTGTGATGATACTTTTTATGTGTCTGAACTATCCATCTAATTGGTCATCATGAGTAATTTCAGAAATCTCAAATACAAAAAAGCATCAATCACTTGATGTTTGCTAAGAAAAATTATAGGGATAGCAAGTGTAATGGATAATCATGATGCTCATTTATAGATATACTAGTTTGCCGTCCGTGCAAAGCACGACGATAAATTTTTTCATGCTATAACAATCATGTTTCTTAAATGGTACAGTAAGTTTTTGAAGTGCTAAAGTATCTCGCATTTTGAAAGTGCTACAGTAATATTGTTACTGTTCATAACGGTCCTTGAATTGCTACAGTATTTCACGTTTTAAAATTGCTGCAGTGCTACAGTAATAAACCTACTGTTTAATTTACTGTAGCATGAATAGAAATTCTCTGATCCTCCTATTTGTATAAAGGAATAGATATCTATGCTTAAGAAGTTCCCTTTTGAAGTTCTTTTTACACATGCATTTAATATGGTTAAAAAAATCGGTCAATCATTTAATGCATGATAGAGGCTTTCAAACATGTTAGTTTCAACTCAATGTTAAGTTGAATTAGCACACAAATCTTCTAGTCCGGTTTCAAACATGTTAGTTTCAACTCAATGTTAAGTTGAATTAGCACACAAATCTTCTAGTCCGGTGATTAATAAATTGATATTTTCAATGTTAAGTTGAATTAGCACACAAATCTTCTAGTCCGGTGATTAATAAATTGATATTTTTGTATGCGTCATTAGTGTTATGAACGAAAATCACCGAATATTTTCTGACACATCAATCTTTAAAATTTTTGAGAATGCATGAGATATGATGTTGTCTGTTCTACCGATTTTCAATGGTCTCATTGTGTTGACGGTTCTTGTAACCTCTATAAGTTTTAATATCAGTGCTTTTGTTAATTGCTAAATATTTATTAGTGTTGGCAACTACCTAGGATTAAAATCATTATCATTAATTCTAAGAAATTTAATGAAATAATTTGCAGTTTTATGCTAATTTTTAACTTAAATTCTAAAATCATGCTCTTTTTTAGATAGAGAATGACTTTCATAGGCCTGCAATTCAAAGGATCCTTAGCTGGAATAAAATATAAGGAATAAGTCTTAGAGTCAAAATTAGACCAATTTCACATAACACCATATCCTTTGGCCCATTTTAAGATAAACCTTCAGAACTTTAAAAATATCAGTCAGTTTCACATAACACCATATCCTTTGGCCCATTTTAAGATAAACCTTCAGAACTTTAAAAATATCAGTCAGTTAGCCCCTTCACTTTTGGGGAATTTTCACAAAGATCAAAATGTTTGCCCTTTTTTCTCACTTTCAGTGGTATAGCCCCTGATTATTTTTCAATATACCCAGCTAACTTCCAACAATTATTTGCACAAAAGCCTCTAAACAATTATAATATGAAAAGTGTATAATACACAAGCTAACTTCCAACAATTATTTGCACAAAAGCCTCTAAACAATTATAATATGAAAAGTGTATAATACACAATCAATTATGACAACACTATGTAAAACAACACTATGTATTCCAGTCCACATGAAACTAATTAGAGGAACTGCTTGTTACCCATTGAAGAGTATACATACACAGAGTCAATCAGAACAGAATTACCTCACTACAACAAATGCACATTAGCACCACAAAACGTCCAAACAGTAACACTCGATCTCAAAAGAACTCAAAATCCATAATGTTTCCATCCTCTTATTACTATGCGCTCCTCTCCCTAGAATCTCAGCCTCCACCAGATTGGGCACCTCCGACGACATTCACCCGCTTCAAAGAACTCACGCATATATACTAAAACAAATGGTGTCACAAAAACTTCTCTCTTGCGGTAGGATATAAATATAAGAGATTATTATCAAAGAAACTTGGAATATCTTACCCATTATCAAAATATTGTGATCAGTTCATTCAGACTCAAGGAAGTTAGTGGGATAAATATACTATCAATTTCTTGGTATGAAAACTAAGACTTACCATAGATTTGTAAGCAAATTGATAATCCTCCTCCTCCTCTTCAAAATCTTAAATATAAACAACTCTCTTATATGACCTACGCATCCAATTTTGAAATTAAGTTTTTTTTAACAGTTTTCACAAGAATCTCTAAGGGTTTATAATAGTCTCAAAAGTGCCAATTGAATTAATGCACATGTATGTTACAATTTGATGGGTGGTGTAGAGCTTGACGCTATTTCTATACATCAAATGCATTGACTATTGAATGATGTTAATTGGACTTAAGTACTTTATTGGACGTGGAGGAAAGTTTAGTTGGACTAAGTTGAGTAAAAACTGTATAATAATATTTAGGTGACAAAAAAGTAAGATAAATGTATATCCCTCAAAGATAATTACTAATATATAGATATAAAGATTCTTAACATATAAATATTGAAGTCTAGTACAAAAAATGTAACTATTAATAGTTTTACTGTAGTTTATAAAATATATCTAACTATAGTAAATAATATTGTTATAATATTGTAGTCTTAAATCCTTTAACTGTAATTAATGTGATATGATTTAATAAGATTGAGGGTTATGAGAAGATGAAAGTTACATTTAGAGTTAGGAGTTAGTGGATGAATGTTATGAGTATGTGGTTAAATAAAATTTTGATGGTCATAAAGATGGTGGTTATGAAAAATTGAGTATGAATGTGTCATCATGTATGTATGAATGGATGGATGTGTAGTCAATGGCGACTTTATGAAAAATTAAGTATTTATGTGTCTCATGTATGCATGGATTGATGTGTTGGAGGGCATATTAGGGAGAAATGTTTTAACATAGCAACTCACTTTTATAATAGTATTAGATAAATATAAAAAAAAGGAAATCTACAGATTACTTTTTGCTAAGTTGACATCAATATTTTAGTTTGTAAGAGTGCTTCATCTCAAATTTGAACATATGATATAATTATGCAAAACTAGTTGTGAGAAGTGTGGCCTATTCCAAAACTGTTGCATTGTTTAAGCGTAACTTGAATTTTGTCGCGGGAGGGGGGGGGGGGGGGGGGCTAATTCTGGCAACGTTATGTTATTATTATTGTTATTATTTAAATTTTATGTTTGGCTTGAGGTGTATAGTTTACCTTTTTTGATTCATCTTGGGAATTTATATCAAAGGTCAGAGTATGGGGAAAAGAATATTAACTTGGTAACTCTAAAATAATTTTAATTACAAATTCCTATGATGAGAATACAGTTGGATATTGATGGCAATGACACCTATACCTTAGATTAATGTTTAACTCTGATTAATTAGTTTTCATTTATATTGTTCCATCAATAATTGATATGAGGTTTGTGGTCCTGAAACCATGCTCCCTAAAATTTCGGAAGCAGGATGAAGCCAAGAAGGACTTCAGTATAGTGAACAAACTTATGTACAATGACACTGAGAAAACAAATTACATCATTGGTTACTGTCTCGTTCATTCAATTTAAGTTTTCCAAATATCCATTAAGAACTAAAAATGACACACTAAGTCAAACATTTTCATTAGAGAAATGACTGAAGATCTATGAGTAGTTCATCACTGGATAGACCGTAAGCGTAGTCCATAGAGAGAACAAGTGAACAACCATAGTACGTAGATGCTGACTCATTTAAGGATATAGTGTGAACGATATTGCCAAATCACAGTCATCTACTCAAATAACAGAAAAGAAGAAAATTTTGTGAAACATATTGTATTAGGAAGAGGTGGAAAAACAATCTGCAACAATCTTCGCTAATCTCCAATCAAATACACAAGCATACACATAAAAACTGCTTCACCAATTTTAAATCGAGTAATTCATATAGCATCTAAAATCACATACTAATTACAGGAAGTGATCAAATTCAATGAATGATGATGATTCACCTGAAGAAAACAAGGATCAAGGTTGGCCCTTCTCATGTTCTTCCCAAATCTATAGCAAGGGCAGCTGCAAACATCAGAGTCTACGATCAGATAAACAATCATTCAACCAATCATTCAACCCTAACCATCTACTTGCGTTTTAAGTCATAAGAGCCATTAGGCAACAACTCCACACTCAATAAAGGTTTCTGATCAAAAAAGAAGATTTTAAAATTTCGGAATAAAGGCGAGCTATCTTGAATCAATCTCCTGCAATTGTATCTGAGCACCCTCAATAACACAAATTCAGATCAATATTTATCAACTCATGCCAAAATATCCAGATTTTAACTAATAAAATCACAAAAATCGCAAAAAAACCCAAATAATTAGAGGAGCAGAGGCTCACCAAGCGGATTCGATAGCAATCCTCCGATCCTCAAAGCAATCCAGGACTCTTCCTTCCCACATCCGCTGAACTCCTCCAAAATCTAACTCAAATGCATCCTCTCTCACTCCCTTATTCGTTGAAATCCCCTGCGTTTGAAGCGCCACCGGGTGCCAAAGCATGTCGAAATCGATAGCCGCCATTCGTTCGCGAGACTCTTCCGATTCGGATTCCGCATCGCTTAGGTTTAGGGTTAGGGTTTAATTTCGAAGTTTACCCCCTTGTATAAATTTTCGTCGAAGACACGGAACCTTAAATTTGTGGATTCCAGTTTTCAGTGGGGTACGGTTTCGTAAGATAGGGAGGGAGATCGTTGTGAGGGGGCTGGTGCGGGTGCGCCTCTCTAATGGCGGGTGGCCCCGCTGCCGGTTTTATTGTCATTGTTGGGTAGGCTCAACGAAGAAGCACTGTGGTTTTGGCGTCTGTTTTCCACGTCATCAAGCGGCTATCAGTTCTGAGTAGCTTCCTCGCAGCACGCGGTTCTGTGCGGCACAGGTGTATAGGAGGGGACAATATCGGTATTTTACTGCCCCTGTGGATGAATGAGATCACCCCCTCACAATGGTGTGTTCCGCTAAGAAATATAGTCTCAATTTCTCCCGCCGTTTTTATTAACAGCTGCTTTTCGTACGGGGCAATGAATTTTTATGCGGTCTTTATTATTTCTAAATTAAAAAAGAAAAAGAAAAAAAAAGGTATCAACTACTTCTTTTAACTAAAAGAGAACCAAAAAAAAAAAAACTTTGATGAACAGTCATTCTATGCTGGGCCAATCATATTGTTCAAAAATTTTCCACCTCATCTTATTTCAAAAATTTCCCTGCTCCCTCTCTCGACTTTCCACACTTCCTCATCACTGACAAACCCACGTTCACCCTGCTCTCTGTCCAGATTTCGCACACTTTCCCAACCACTTGCAAGTTGCAAACCAACGTTCTCCCTGATCTCTCTCAAGACTTTCCACACTTCCCAACCATTTGCAAACCCACATTCCTTTTTATTAAAAACCGCTGAAATTTTGAAAACAAAACTCCATGTTCTCTAACCTTACAACTCAATCTCAATCTCTAATGGCGGACTCAGATCCAACGGCCTCCCTTCTCAAATAGTCGCCAGCGATTCAGGAACAATGATGAAGGATAACCGTCCTGACAGTGAGGAGAACCGCTGCGTTAGGAAACAACGGCGGGGACGACGATGGTTACTTCTTCTTCCTTAATATAAAAAAACTAATTTACGAATCAATTTATTTGAATCAAGGGACCTAATAGCAACTTTGTCTTGATTTATACTTAATTATTTTCTGCTTGCTTGCTAAACGAACGGTTAGTTCTTCTTCCTTCCCAAAAAGTCTGTTCTTTTTTTCCATTCTAAATCAATTTAATAATTGAATTTTCAGAAAATATGATTACTTTTGTTTTGGTCTTGGGTTTATTGCGTCCTAATTTTGATTATCTAATATATTTATTTTTATCAAAATTAATTTTAAAGATTAACAATTATATTAAATTTCTCCATTTTCTTATTAAATTTCATATTTAATTCTTTAATTTTCTGATAAAATTTCATCCTCTAAACCTCAAAAGCAAAAAATTCAACTAAATTTTCATCTATTGATTCCTAAATTTATGATCATAAGTAGTGATATTTAAGAATTTTTGGCATCTTATGTATTTTTAAAATTCGATATTTCTTTTAAAAAAATTATTTCTGATAAAGTATCATCTTTTTAACCTGAAATTTCTGATCAAATTTATTATTTTAATCATTATATTCATGCTCATATGTAGTTTACCTAATAAAATTTCTGATCAAATTTCATATTTTAATCTTCAAACTTAAAAATTTATACTTCAAACTGTATTTTTAAATTTTGAGGTGAAATAGGTATTTTTACAGCTAAATAATTCTTCTATACATTCTCTACTATCTGATCATATGTTGAATTTTTTATCATCTAATCAATTTTCATTTTTTTTTTCCTTAAATTTGTAAATAAATTTCTCATTTTTACCCTTAAATTTTGATCTATAATATTTACTGTAGTGGTAGTCAAAGTTCATTAAATTATAGTATAATATGAATTGCCATTTATTTGTATAAATAGGATGCATTAGATATATAAATGCTAATGACGTATGCACAAGATATGCCAGTGTTACTGATGAGAAAAAGATTTTTGAATTTTAATTAACTTTATAGAAAGTGAGTTGTAGAGATTCTCTACATTCAAAGACATAAAGGAACATCTATCTGCGAGTATCTTCTGTTCACAATGACAGAGATTTGTTGCCATACTTTTTGAGTCTAATATATAATTTTAATTAATATGAGCATCAAGGACCGAGGATTTAGTGTTCAATTAAGTATGTAGAATATTTTAACGCATCTATCAGCTGCGTACATATATCTATGAAAATTCTAAAAAGAACTGTACAATTATGGTGTCTACCCTCGCATATAGATGTTCACTATGATTCCAACCACTTGTGTATGAATTTGATTAACAACGAAAGTGAAGAAAATAATTCAGCGTGTAAAACCATGCTTCTTAACATACTTAAACTGTCTTTACATTCTTGCAAGACAAGATAATTTGCTAAACTATATTCACATTGACAGGTGCAGATAGCTCGACTTCGTTACCCGTCATTGAAGCACAAGCTGGAGACGTATCGGCCTTTATCCCCACCAATGTGATCCCCTTTACAGATGGACAAATCTGTTAGGAAACAGAGCTCTTTTATCGCGGAATTAGACCTGTGATTAACATTGGCTTATCTATCAGTTGCGTCGGGTTTGCCGCTCAGTTGAAAGCTATGAAACAAGTCTGCAGTAGTTCAAAACTGGAATTGGCACAATATCGCGACATTGTTTCGTACTATGCCTTTCAGTATTAGGGGATCTTTCTTACTTGATAAAATTATTAAGTGCATATACTAATGGAATTAAATTATGATGCAGGAACTGGGTATCTAGCCTTCGATAAAGGAGCACAAATTTTGGACACATAAGATCATTTGTGTACGGTAAAATCAGTTTCCCTTGGGAATTTGCAGAAAATCTTTTAAAAATAGTGCTTTACACGAGTCTAAATACTAGTTTGTCTATAACTTCAGAGTGATTCTATTTTACATGTGGTATACTCTCAAGATTTGAATCCTCTGTTTTGTGATCAATATGAGACTCCTTGTGCCCCCTATGCTACTCAGACGGTCCGTTCGCATGAAAGCTGTTCTCAGGAGATGTGAGTTCCAGTTCCTCCCGCTGTATTACTAGTGGTTGCTTTTCGTATGCGCGATGTGAATTTGTGTATATTATTTTTAAATTTAAAAAAGAAAAAACATTTGCTCGTAACTTCAGAGTAATTCTATTTTACATGGATATACTCTCACGATTGGAATCCTCTTAATTATTGAGCGGGAAAGTTTGTTAAAAAAAAGAAAATTAAGACAGTATTATATTTGAAATACATTACAATTGTACATATGGATATTGATAATTGATTGCAATCGAAGAGAATTCTAATTCACTTAATAATTTACTACCTTTATAGAGTGTTAGCCTATTTCTCATAGTATAGAAAATAATAACATTCCAAAATGTAACAATTTTCAGCCAAACTACGTGTTTTGAATCGGATACAGGCTGTAAAGAGTGAATTATGTAGTCCAAAATTCATACTAAAATGAACTTCATATCTTTGCGGAGGTGTTGATAAGCTGAAAATCCATTGTAGGCGTCAAAAAAAAAATATTGATGGATATCCAAATACAGCTTAAAAGGAGATCATCCAAAGATCAAAACACAAGAAACAAGTGTTTGTTGTCTCGGGCGCCAGACAGTCTTTTACTGTTTGGCGAGACAGTGTTTTACTGTTGGAGAGACAGTCTTTTACTATTCGGAGAGACAGTCTTTTACTGTTGGAGAGACAATCTTTTACTGTTTGGAGAGACAGTCTTTTACTGTTGGAGAGACAGTCTTTTACTGTTTGGAGAGACAGTCTTTTACTGTTCGGAGAGACAGTCTTTTACTGTTCGGAGAGACAGTCTTTTACTGTTCGGAGAGACAGTCTTTTACTGTTCGGAGAGACAGTCTTTTACTGTTCGGAGAGACAGTCTTTTACTGTTCTGAGAGACAGTCTTTTACTGTTCCGCGAGACAGTCTTTTACTGTTCCGCGAGACAGTCTTTTACTGTTCCGCGAGACAGTCTTTTACTGTTTCGCGAGACAGGAGTTCAGAAACCGCCTAAACAAGTGGTCATTCACTGTTAAAGAACGTGGGAGACAGTTACAAACTAAAAAAAAGGCCCACTAACCTATTAAAAAGTGGGTATTAAGGATTTGGACAGCGATTAGAGAGCATTTGAGGGCATTCTTCTAAAAAAGAGAGAGGGTCTTCATCAAAGGATCGAGCATTTGTTAGAGCATTCTAGAGCAGAGAGAGAGCAGATTTGAGTTCTTTTCTTGCAACGCCTTGAAATTAAGCTTCGACTTGATTTTAAGAAGAACGACTATCTTACATCGATAAGATATCGTTTCAATTCTCACTTCGATAAACGAGGTCAGAATCATAAGCCCCCTTCACGATCTGTGAATCGGCGGTCCACGAACCAAAGCGTTCCCGGCACAGGCAAAGTCCCACGAAAACGAGAATTGATAGACGATTTTCGTGTTTGTTTCTCAAGAGTTGTAATTTTTGTTTTGTTGTGTAGAAAAAGTCTTATAAAAAGATTATTCTTTCGAATTTGTTGTAATCGAACAAAGTTATAATGAATTCCACAGCAGCGACATTTGAACCAAACAACAATCTCTCAGCCACCTCGTTCTGTTACGGTGTCTCTCTAACTGTGAAGTGTCTCCTAATGCCGTGATCCCGATAAAACTACAGAAATTAATCACTCTTATACTCTCCACCATTGTCTGAACGAATAGTCTTTACCTTTCTACCTGTCTGCAGCTCCACTTTCTTCTTCCACTCCACAAATATATCCAGAACCTCATGTTTATGCTTCATTGTATATACCCAATTCTTCCTGGAATAATCATCAATGAAAATGACAAAATAATTTGCCCCACCAAGCGATGTATGCTTGGAAGGCCTCCAAACATCTATGTGAATATAGTCTAATATACCTTGGGTGTTATGAATAGCGGTGCGGAACTTCACTTTAGTCTTCTTCCCAAGTATGCAATGCTCACACAGCTCCATTTTGCAGGTCTTTACAGTGGTTTTAGACGTGCGACTCCCGACATAACCTTGGATCGCTCAAAGACAAAAATAAATTGTCCTGAGAATG